AACGCTCATCTCCATAGCCGCCTTCAAGAACTCCTTCACCTGATCTCCCACGCTCTCTTTCTCACCCACATTCCCATGAACGCCGTATCTCATCCCGTCATCCGTATAATCTCCTCCATGATCAGCATCCATTGCACGAAGCCAGAAAAGCCACAGTGAGAAGTGGGTTTTCTGGGGAAAAATCCAAAAAGAAAAGAGTACCGGCAGGGCTTTTTTTTGCAGTTACTGCAAATGGTAGCGTGCGGAAACTTCAATGCAATGCAGAATTCAGTGATGGTACAAGAATTTTCATGGAGATCTGTAGGTATCAGAATCTGGGTATGTGTGCAGAAAAAAAAAAAAAAAAAAAAAAAAGGGTTGAAGAAAAAGCAGAGGTAAAAAGGCTTTTGTAAATACAATAGTGGTAGAGATTGGTGGGGTCCGTTTGGGAGGGTTTTGGAAGTGAGACAGCTTGATTAGTCTTAGCTGTTTGCGTTTTATCTCATCCTCTCGCTCTCTCTCTCTCTCTCTCTCTCTCTCTCTCTCTCTCTCTGTTTGCTGGTTTTTGTTCGTTTATGAGGAAGACGACGACTGAGAGAGACGACTACACCACGTTGAGGAAGGTGGTGTGGGTTATGTGATAATGGACGGCGGAGATGCATCCACGTCGACTAACGAGTGTCACCGCCGGTGACGGTCGGTGACTGGTGGTTTTCTTTTTCTTTTTCTTTTTCTTTTTGTTGTCAACATTCTCAATGTGCGACTTCGCGACTAACATCGGTACGAGTCGACTTTGTTAATCCCGCGAATTTATTTATTTTTTTTTTTTTTTAAGGAAAATCGATTTAAAATTTTAAATAATTTTTTAAAATTAAAATTAAAAAAGAAATTTCTGAATTCGTTCGAAATAATTAAAATGTGGTCGCTTTGAATTTCCTATAAATAAAAAAAATTATGTATTTTAAAAAGCACGTGCCTTTTAAAATACACTGCTTTATATGCCCCATGTATTTAGTCAATCAAAAAGAACAATAAGCTTTTTTTTTTTTTTATTGGTCATTAGGTACATACAACTCGTACACGTACATAATCACAATAATAACTATTCAAATCGTAAGATATAAGTTTGATATGCAGTGAAAGCATATGATGGATCGAATCCTTTTTACCTGTGAATAAAACAGAACCAAGAATTTCAATCACCCGGTCATAATCTACTCGAGCGGAAAATTTTCTGACATTTCTAATTCGTTGTCTCGCATTTCTAATAAGATATTTAATAACTGGCGTGATGAATTATATATACAATAGGCCGGTTTAGATCGATCATGATCAAATGATTCTCAATTACTTCTATTAAAAATTCTACTAGCGCCCGTCACAGTTAAAATCGTTGAAAACGTAGTCTTCTAATAACTCATTTCCTGTAGTTTTAAATTTTTATTATTCATACGAAAATGTTAATTGACATACTCTTTGCCAATTTTACTTATATATAGATTTAACAAAACAACACAAGGCAAAAGATATCTATTTACAGGGGGGGGGAAATGAACAAACAGAGCATAAGCTGAAAGGAAGCTTAGTTGAAACCCCGTAACAATTACATTCTTCCAAGTCCATGAGGAAAGGTAGCTGAGAAAAAGGAAGTAAGAGGGAATAATTTTTACCAAACCTTTCCCTTCTGATTAACCCTAAAAAGTCCAAAGTGGTCCTGTTCCACCAAAATTGGTGCAACATCAATCCAACCTAATCATCATTCTCTCCACCTCAACATCAAATCGCCTCTGCTGATATATACATTCAACTATAATCTGCATGTTATGCAACAACAAAAAAAAAAAAAAAGATTAGGAAACAACCCCAAAAAAATTACTGTAATTATGCACATATAATTATCCGATTTTCAATTACCCCTCCAATGCAACTCTAGATTTTATATGTAATTATGCATGGTCTAGGCTTGAGTCTATATTTGAGCAAATACTGAGGATTTCGCCCGATAATTTAACGATGAATCCTGGTTTATCCATAAAAAAATCATGAAAGAAAGAACGGTTAAGATTAAGGTCTCCGTAGTCTAAATCAATGATTTCAACTCGTTTAACATCAAAATACATACAAATATAGATTTGATAAGAAATTATCTCAAAAGCCTAACTTAGTTGATTAAGTAAAAATTCTAAACTTAGTGCTATAATTATTGTCAAGACTTGTATACGTGCTACTTGAATGTTTTTAACTGCTAAAAGAATCTATCAGTAAACAAAAAAGCTCTGATGACATTATATAATTAAGTTACTTGAATTTCCTTATAAAAAGGTTGCTCTACAGTTTTTTGCTTTATCAACCAGGTTAAATGTTTGGGATAATTGCTTATCCAACCATCCGATATAACAAATCAAAGCTTAAGCAACTATCATGTCACCTCTGAGGCCTCTTTTGAAAATTATAATCTAATTTTACGTACAACGAGGCTTGCTGAAGAGAACTGTCAATGGTGCTAGAATATAAACCCTGATTCACTTTACTTCATGATGAATGATTTTATTGATAATGATAATAACTTTATGTATACGGGAGCTAATCATAGTTAGACTCCTATTGTAACTCCAGGATTCTTTTTTTTTTTTTTTGAAATAAAAGTAAAATTATATTAACAGGTACCGAGATGGTGGCAACCTGTATACATATTATTTAAAACTTTAATAAAATGTTTACAAGGTTCCCTAAATCCTCCCAAGAATGGAGAGGATGACCTATAACACTTTAGTATCCAAATTCAATCAAGACTACTAAGTATTTTCTACTTCTTTGTGGACCATCATCAAATAGAGCCCTTACGAGGATTAACCTTCCTTTGTCTACGTCGTGAGACCTACGCTAGTAGGTTTTCCCAGTGAACCTATCCAGCAGCAACTGCTCCTTCTAGGATGTTATAGATTAGTCTATTACTTAACGAATAAAATAAGAATTGATTGAGAATTAATAGATAGCATATTGAATGAGAACTCACTTGGAGAATGAACAGCTGAATTTTCTTTCCAGTATACAGACAAATATATTCTCAACCATTTTATTAGTATCTAGCATAAAGAGTCATGTTAAGTATTTTCTACTTCTTTGTCAACCATCATCAAACAGAGCCCTTATGAGGGTTAACCTACCACTATCATATTTATCTAAAAAAAGCAAGATTCAATATGTTTTAAGGCTAACAACTATCTACATAGCTCCTCTGTTTGCTTTCTAAGAATTTAGAGTTTCTGGTAAGGCAAAAGCACTGGAGGTAAAAATGAAAAAAGTAGAGGATGTAAAAGCAGAAAAAAGTGTGACCTGAGTCTCTTGGCTTGTTATAGAAGTCATCTTCTTCTTTGTCTCTGATCACGTATGATGTTATGTTCATCCCAGATG